TTTCTGCATAACTCGAGAACTAATCAAGCAAATGGAACCAAATTAGGCATGTGGGGGCGAGTGGGGGGGTATAAGGAGATAATCATAGGGGGTAGCCCCCAGATAGAAAATGTGGGGGGGGGGCTACGTACAATATAGCATGCTTTTTTTTTTAAATCGGCGCATAAACTCAAGCTAATATTGAATCCCGAGCAAGACCGGGCACACTCAGCTAGTACTATATAAAAACTACATACAATATAAACGGAAATGCCATAAGCTACAATATGGAACCAATGTTTGTAATTTAAAATTTAATTTAATTTAAATTTTAATCTTTACATTATACTATCAAAGTTACCCGCATTATCAAAGATACCCCGTTTTACGGTACCTAGAATTGATTACTAATTACATGTATATCCTAGATTCACCTGTTCCACAATCTATGGCAGATAATTTGATAATTGGCTATTTATTTGTTAATAACACTGAAATTTAAGTACATTAAATGTCTAAATTGTAAACCATTAAACTATAATCTAAACAAATACATTTACAGTTTTGAAGCTGAAAGTAACGGTGTTTTTCTTCAGCCGCAACAAATATATTAACTGTATAATTGATTGCATCGAATATTTGTAGTACTCCTGGAAGAGTTTCGGAAGTTAACCCTTATGCGCGTTTGTAATTATTTTTGCTTTTTTCTACACTGTGTTATTCAAGTGGGAGCTGGTAAGCGTTTTATGTAGTTTTTAATTTTTCAAATTCCTTGGTAGATCCAGAATTATGCACATTTTACACACTATAAAGAATTTCTCAAGCATCTTAAAATTTATCAGGTTTTATGAGTTTTTTTATATTATGACAACCCCAGGGTTTCTCAAAGTTTGGAAGAATCCGGAAGCTCATAAGATTCACGTACAATGTATCCATTAGTGATAAACTGCGGCAAAATGACAGCTAAATCTATTGTTTAACGCGAAAGCAGATATTGACACGAGGACCACTTCCACAGGACGTAGTGACATGGATGTAAGAATTGTAATGTATAAGAATTGTAATGTCAATCAGTGTTCGGAAAAACTCAAAAACTCAAATCTCATGCATGAGTTTATGCGCCTATGAGTTTTGCCTTGCAAAATTCAACGTCGCAAAAATCACCGATGAGTTTTCAGGTTCAAAAATTCATTGCTTTATGTTTTGGCGTTATTCATTGTTATAACTATTGTTTGTGCATCAGGGGTTGGAAAACTAACACAACATGCATAGGCATGATATCAATTGACGTTTGAGTGGTTTTTATGAGTTAAAAGCTCGAATGATTTTTCGGCGTTGTGAGTGTGAGTGCGTGAATATGCATGATAATCTCAAGCGTGAATTTTGTTTGCCGCATTCGCACGCGAGTTTATTCTCGCAGGGAGGCTCAATGAATGAGATTTGAGAATGATTTTCCGAACACTGAATGTCATCATGATCATAAGACCTTCTCCTTATTCTAAACTAGATATGGACAATTCTCTCTTTTCGAACTCTATTAAACTGTTCTTTGTTCTTCATTAAACACACATAGTGCAGTAATTCTATGTTTGATAGGAAAACAATCTTTTGAAATTAACTTGTAAACTACTGATAAATACAGTCACCTCTCCATAACTCGCTTTTGAAGGAACCATCGAGTTATAGAATTATCAACTTATAAAATAACCTTTTTTTGTTCGTCCATAATTTTAAGAATAACATGACGAATTTTTCCTTCTATTATTATACCTGGCCCTATTTATCTATGAAAATTCAAAAAAATGTTCCATTTACGGAAGTTCTGAGTAGTTAACTCTTCGAGTACCACACCTAAATCACACTTTTCACTATTTTTGTAATATCTTCGGTAAATTTTCATGTATTTTTGATGTTGTTATCTTGTTGGAAAGGGTATTAATTTTCCTTTTTTATGGTTTGATTGAGCATAGCACACAATGACGAGTTTGATAGTTAATCAATCTTTTGGTTTTTCAGTTTTTGTCGACTCGGTAGACATGTCGTTTCAGCAAGTTGAAGTTGATCGGTTTGTCCTTTTTATATTTTTTCCTGAAAGCCTATAAAAGTATCTAATAGAATGCACCATGCACACATTTTTAATTGCCCTACAGAATGAATAATGACCTTCCGAAAATTTTGTTATAATTTGGTAATCCTGATTTTATGAAGCTATGACACAATCAGGGAACGTGAATAACAAGCTAATTAAAAAATTAGGATGTGACCTATCCAACGGTATTAAAACATTTGAAAACGGATAAATAGCGACTGAGATACATCATTTTGAAAAAATTGTCGACTCCATTTTCAGTGTGGTGCCCGAAGAGTTAATTCATAATATTAAGCCAATATGAACAAAAAGATGCAATATGACTATCAATTCTTGACATTTAATTCGTTGTATGTTTTTGGTTCATGATAAGCTTTGACCATTTACTCAATCATTTAAAACTCATGAGATTTGATTTAACGCATTTGCTTATAGTCTGTTTTTGATCACTTCTCTGGGTCATAGGAACATTTCTGAATGGCACTATCGCCCTGAGTATTTAAAAAAACCGGTTTGATTTGTATCATGATATACTCTGCTATAAATTAAAGGTATTGACAATTTTCTCGATGATCTGGTTACTTATCATGTTTTTAAAGTTGATTTTATATTAACATCAAAATCACAGAATTTAGAAGCTCTGTCTTTGACATATCAAGTTATAGAATCAAAATAACACTACATTGGACATCGTCCAAAGTTTTAAAGAGTTCGATGCATAAAAAATTAAGGGACCGCTGAAGCCATCGAGTTATAGAATATCGAGTTGTGAAGAGTTGTGTAGTTGCTTGCTGCTTAAAATAAAGATCTTCCAAAATAATTATCAAAAAAACTCTTACTTATTATAAGTTTCAAGTACACTGGAGTCGTTTTTTACGCGGGGGAAACGTGCCGCGTAAAATCCTAAATCCACGTAAATTCTGAAAACCGCATAAAAAACCGCGTAATTTCCGAAATCTGCGTATAAAACCGCGGTAATTCTGAAATCCGCGTAAAAAAAAACCGCGTTCATTCCAAAATTAACCTAAACTGCAACCAATCGAGATTTTTACAAATTTCATTGTACATACATCTTATATAATACCGTATGCGTGATAATGTTTGCACCATTGAGCAATGTCAAAATTAAGAAAAATCTCATAAATTTCGCTTTCGCTTCCTCCACACGCTTCCGGAATGCACGGCAGGTTCTAATAATATAGTCTGGATCCATTTCTCTCCAGGTACGGGTCAATGTTTGTCTGAGGCTTGCTGTACTCGGGTGGCGTTTAGCATAGGCCTTGGCCTTCATGACGCGCCATATTGAGTAATTCAGCGGATTAGGATCGGGGCTGAATGGCGGCCACATATCCTTCGCCCAGAACGGAAGATGTTCCTGCAACCACTTCTGAGTGCGGTTCGAGGTGTGGCACGGAGCCCCATCTTGTTGAAATACAACATTTGTCTTCGGACCGTACTGTCCTTTGATCCACGGAAGAACATACTTACTTAAAATCCCGATGTAGACCTCCGTGTTAACCTTGTCGCCTTCTGGAATGAACACCGGGTCCATTTTTTGCCATCGGAAGCCACCAATCCAAACACCATAACGCTAGCAGGATGCTTGGTCAGATACACGTTCTTGTGCTCGTCGGCCACGTCTTTTGCCGGAAGAGAACTAATATACCGGTCGGTTCTGGAATTTGATACGGGATCGACAGTAAAAATGCTCTCGTCGGTGAACAGGATTACCGGATTTTTTTGCTTAAGGAAGTTCAAGATTTTCTTGCATCGTTCGACTCGTAGCTCCCGGATGCGGTTGCTAATCATGTGAGTTTTTTCCGTGCCCTCGACTTCGCCCCGAATCTTCCTTTACGGTCTTCCGTGCCATAAAGTCACTGATCCCGTGTTCCTTTGCCATTTTCCTTATTGAACGCACTGGATTCACCCGAATCTTCCTTTTGATAGCAGCGATAACCCTCGGAACCCGAGCTGACCTCGGCCGACCTGTGGCCACCTTCGCGGATTGTTGTCCTTTCTTTTCTCGATGTAAAACCCTTTTGACGGTTAACCGGGACACTCCCACGGCGATTGAAATGTCTTTTTGCGACATTTGCGCGTGGGACAAATCACGAATACGCTGCCACTTCGTCATGGTGCAACTGTCAAACTAAGTAAATCCTTTTCTTTTATACACAGCCTACTACGGTATGAGCTATAGGTTACGTGCATGCAAAGAAAACCAAGGCATTGTATGCACAGGTGAAACGAGAACCTTATTTGTACGATGGTGCAAACATTATCACGCATCCGGTATATTCCTCAATATCGATCAGAAACTTGTTGAACACTATGTTTGTAATAGATGATGCTGGGTTATTACACCGAAAGTTACTATGCCGAACGGTCATTAGTCCGAATGGTCATTATGTTTGGGCCTAACGGCCGGACACCTTAATAGTTGCACTAGAATATACTTTTGCCCTAACACGTCACGTTTTTCAGGTACAGTTCTTTTTATGAGGCTGTACCGCGCTACAAACGTGCATGAGACCAGTGAGTTAGCAGCACGGAGGTGCTCCGCTACCGCCTAAGTATTGGAAATATCACCGAAATGATCTTTTCCGATTTGCATGAAACTGTGCAAAATTATTTATTATGCGCAATCATTCACATTTGTGCTAAAAATCGGCCATTTCGAATATTGCACCTTTTTTTAAAATGGCGTATTCGACATTTTTCAACAAATCGTACCACGAAAACGTCAGTTCTAATCGAAATGTCGTCTGGAACAGGATTTTTTATAGGGAAAAAGTACACGGTTATTTAATTTTAGTTATTTTGAGTAAAAAAATTTTAAAAAAAATCAAAACTTAAGCAAATTAAAATGATAGCAATTGATAGCAAACAAGCATATCTGGCAAAATAAAATATAACTTTTCCGTTCTTCCAGTTCCACCACCTCCACCGATGCCCAAATCAAACATCCCACCACCACCTCCACCACCGCCGAAGCTGGGACCCCCACCGGAATTTAAAAAAGATGAAATCTCCTATAAACATAAAGAGGTGATCGAAAAGCTGAAGTAAGTAATCGTCACATATTCAAAGGTCAACGTTTGGAAAATGTACGTTAGACTGAATGTACGTTAATTTTCTGGGAAAGTGTCAGATTCAATGTACCGTCAAAAAATCTTGACTGTAAATACACACTACCAAAAAGTCATGTAAATTTCCGTGCCCTGAGACCGACACATGCAAGCGGCCCAAATGACATAAGAATAAGTTGAAAGAAACTAGAAAATAAATTCAATCAATCGTACTTTTCATCGAGTTGCGTATGTTTCGGTTTGAGAACACTTAATTTTACATGACATGTTTGTTTACGTTCCATAATCAAAGATGGGTTACTTCTAGTGTAAATTTAGTTATTTTTAAGTGTGTAGATAAAACCAAGCTTTTTGAAGTTGTAAGTGATGATGCATGCTGTTACTTTCTAGTAAAAAAATCATCAACCGTTGAATCTACAATTTTCCAGTCGATTGACCCACACAGTTCTAAAAAGTAGTGTAAATTTCAGTTCAGTATAATGCACATAAATGGAGCGTCACATATCATATAAGTTTACATTATATATCATGTAAAGTGCTGAGACAATCCATGCAATGTAGCAAATATTGTATACAAAAGCCTATTGTTGTAAACAACATTGTTTACAAGTTGCTCGATTGCGTGAAATGAAATACAAGTTTACGTGAATGAATGTTTACATCACTATTAAAATTCAGAATTTTTATCTGTGCAGTCTGCGTATAGCTTCCAAACAAAGATCCCGATAGACCAAGCTTCCGAACAATAAGTTGCAAGCATGAAATATTGTACATTTCGACACAAAAAATAATCCAAGAGGACAGCTTGGTCAATATAATTAGCTATGATGAATGGTTCAAAGTTATTCGTTAAATTATGGTTACATTATTGAATATTTAAGTATTCAAACATAAATTGCCAAATTGTGCATGTCTCAATCCATTCCTATTGTTGTACCGTGCCAGTCCAGATCTAATCAGAAACCGCAACTAGTCGTTCCGAACCGTTCCCGTCGGCCAGTAGAACCCAGGTGAACTAACCACTAATCGTCCCAATGCCTGTTTCGATTGCAGAAAACGACCGCGTAGGCGACCGGACTGGTCCGACATGATGAAGGAGGTGGAACAGGGTAAAAAGCTGCGTCACGTTGAATGCAATGATAGGTATTGTCAACCTTGGCGGCAGATCTGACGTTTGCTTGATAGTCGTTGTTGTGTTAAATGTTGTCCACTGGGACTTTGGAGAATTCTACTAATGCTTTCATGCATTTTATTATTTCCAGATCGAAGCCGATCGTGCACTGCAAGTCCATCACAAAGGTCAAGGATCAATTTATTTTTGAAACTGAAAAAGCTACGGTTCACAATGTGCTCCTCAAAGAAATCCAAAGCGGCGTTAGACTGAAACCGACCAAATGTAATGACCGCAGTAAGCCTATTTTACAAGGATTACGCAAATTCCGCCGGCAGATGACTCTGGAAGAGCAGCTGGCAAAATCCGAATCTAGAGCTAACTTGGAAGCGCCGCCACCGGACGAGGAAGAAGTCGATGAAATGGACGACATCGATAAGGTTCGTGACGATCTGCAGAGTACAAAGCAGCTGCTGGCCATGGAATTGCGCAACAACGAAGCACTAGAGCGCGAGAACAAACGGCTATTGCAGCGGGTACAAAACCTGGAGGGTGAACTGTCCCGAGAGCGATGGAATCCGATGAGCGGAGAAGAGAAGAGCTCGATTTCCGGACCGGATGCCGAATTGATCCAGTCGCTGAAGAAGGAAGCTGTCGAAGGACAAAAGCAGTCCAAGCAGCTCGAGGAAAAATATCAAACCGTGGCCAAGGAGCTAGATGTAGCCAGTAAGCAAAACGAAGAGCAGAAGAGGAAAATTGCAGAACTGGAGAAGAAGCTGCAGGTAAGGTTGTGTGTTGCTAGCCATGAATGTAACTAGATCACATAAGTATCATCATCAAGTACACTGACCTCAAAATTATGGATCAACTTTATATGTTTAACGACTTTTCAGTCAATTATTAATTGCTTTTTGGGAAAGTTAGAAGATACTGAGAAGCAAAGCACACATAATCGGGAAAACACGTGTGTGAGAAAATTTGCCTAAAAATCGGTGAGATGTGTAGCATCCAAATACGTTGCCCACTACTGCCACCAACCAAATACTCGTGTACCTTAGCGGTACCCGTAGTATAATTGGCAATGCACACTGGATGGAATTTGTGGGTTCAAATCCCACCGGTTGCCGTAGATTTTTTTCGCAAATTTTCACACGCACACGTGTCTTATGAATCATCTTTGCTTCTCAGTATGTTCTAACTTTTCCAAAAAAATAATTATGAATCAACTAAAACCAATTATGGATCAATAAGTCTAGCGTTGAGGGTTCTGTTCTCCGGGTTTTGAATAATCCCGGGATTCGGTATTTTATTGATCGAAATCCCGGGAACAACATTCAAGACGCCGAAAACTAACTAAATTCATAAAAAATACCTAGTACGTTTATTCTATTTCAAAGCTTGAGAAAAGGTATCAAGACTAAAGAAATTTAAATATTTCGGTTTTAGCATTTTTCTTAAAACTAGATTTTTAGAAACAACGTTTATTTATCATTCTATCGAAAAGTGATGATCTCATTTATAAGCAAATGTTCGAGGAATCAGATGAAATAAGTTATCGTACTATCCGTTAACGTTGCACAGTGGGGAAAAAATATCCAGACCACGACTAAATTGAATACCTCGGATTGATAACAGCGCATACGATTTTCAAACCGTGCGTCAAGCTAAGATAGCATAGTTGGTAAAGGCACGGTATTACCACAGACAAACAGACATAACACATTGAATATTTCTCACTGTAAAACATCGTCACTAAAACATTACCGCCATCTGTTGAGTACACTGTGGTGGGTAGTACGCTGAACAGATGGCGGTAGTGTGTAAACGTCAATCGCAAGAGAATTGACTATGCGCGCCACAGGTGGCGGTACTACCAACTACGATACTTTTAAATTGACCGTTAAATGCTTGTTCGATGAACAACTAACGAGTGTTATGTCTGTTTGTCTGTGGTATTACCAAGCCGGAGGCGGCGGGTTTGATTCGCAGTCAGATCGAGGAAATCGTTCGGGTTGGACATTTTCTCAACATCCCTGGGCATAGAGTATAATTGTGCTTGTCACGAAATGCATCTAGAACAATAAGTTGAGAACCTGCAAAACGGTCGCAAAAGAACCGTAAAAGGTTTAGAAGAAGAAGAAGAAGAAGAAGAAGAAGTATCAAGTCTCCAATCATCTCATAAAGGCGCACCCTACACGGCAGAAGTTAAACGCACACTTTTTTGCCTAACCCAAAAAAAGTGTGCGCTTGACTTTGCTCAAATAGTGTCTGCGGCTGTGCAATAGTTCTAGCGACGTTTCATCACTACCTAACGCCCCACGTTGCCGAAAGCATTTCCAGTCGATGGTGTATTATAATGCAATTCTTCTTCACCGACTGACTTGCAGTGTCGCATTAATGGCCCTTCGCTCATTTTCAACTTCTATTCAATATTCATACTGCCGTACTCTAACGGAACTATCTACCTACCCTCTTCTAATACCATTCTCTAGCTAAAAATTTATCACACTAAAGCTTCATGTTAGATAGCATTTCCAACCAACTCTGAAAAACGCAAACTTTGCGTATGAAGTAACATAAAAACACTAATTTCATTTGTATACCTATGATCTTGACTTTTTTACCTAGGGGATGAGTACTTAAGGGGGTTAGATTTTGATAAGTTGTTTAGTGGGAATGACACTGATGAAGACTGCACATTGTAGTCGAAATACGTATCTGTCATGGATACCAAAATTAATTAAGTGGAATTAAATGGAAGATAACCCCTTTTTTGCTGTTTTATAATTTTGGTATTTTTCGTGACATTTTCTGAACAAAGTGGGAAGTTTTTCGTAAACATTGTAAAGTGATGGTACTTGACAATCGGTTCCAATGTATAACTCATTTTCGACAAATATGCGAATGGGACTGTTATACCGCACAGGGCAGTATAGCCCACAAAGATGCAATTCCTACGTAAAAAAATCATGGCTCTTGGACTTGGATACAACTTGAAGACTCTGACACTTTGTAGCATTGGCTAGAGAATTATGATGATAATGCCAAATAAATTTTGAGAATAGTCAGTTTAAGGTACTTCTGAAGAGACTATTATGAGGATTATGATTAAAATTCCAGGGAACTCCAAAGCAAATTGAAAGGAATTTTAGGGAGCATTCTAAGTGAATTCAGATAATAGGGGAAATGTCTCTAATGTTGACCTATGGATCTAAGATTGGGTCCATCGCTAAAAATCAGCTATTTATCAATTTTATCTAGATTAACGCGTTATTGGGACGTTACTAATGTCGTTAGAAAGGGATGTAAAAATTAAGTTTAGATAAAAGTTCTATCGACAGCGGCGCCGGTGGTGTAGTGGTATGCATGATTGTCTCTCACCCCAAAGAATCTGAAGTCAATCCCAGTCGGCGCCGCCGGAGTTTTCTGATCTATAAAATCTCTGATCACGCCTTGCTTCGGAAGGGAAGTAACACTGTTGGTCCCCGGTCCATGAGTTGATGGGTCGATAGGTAGGGTACAGGTGTGGGTAGAATTGGTGCTCAGCACGGTTCTATTGAATCTATGCGATACGAAACGACATTCAAATTAAAAATGAATCCCGTTAATATGCATGAAGTGTCGTTGAGATTAACGGGGTTCCACGGTATCTAGTTGCCGGGAGGGCATGTAAAAATTAAATTTTGGTAAAAGTTCTATTGAATCTATGCGATGCGAAACGATATCGTTTACAATTGACTTAAGTCTTCGCAGAATTGCTTTAGAATTTTACCCTCAAACTGTAGAATTATGACCCTTTTTCACGAATTCTATAACCCTCTTCACAATCGTCATACAATTGCCCACAGAGCTACTTTAAGAAATTACTTTATTGTTTATTAATTTATTTGATAAGGCTCAACCGAATTAACTTTACAGAGCCGAGGATTCTTGGTCACTATACAATAGATCTTAAAACTATAGTCAAAAGGTACAACACAATAAACACTTTATCTTCCGCTATCCAAAAAGCCTCCTCCATCAGAACTGGAGCCGCTTCCAGTGGTTTCATTGTATGGCAAATTGTTGTACGCCAACGAGGGTCAGAGCGCGTCCATTGCAGCAATGGACGCAAAACGTGGTCAGCACTCACACACTCATCACGAAACGGTTGCTTTCCAAAGTCGACGACGCATCGACCGAAAGAACTGCTGATGAAGAACAATGAGGAGGACCACACAATGGTTGCTGCCGAGAAAACAGACGATCGCGTAGCACACATCGAGAGTGGCCTGCTTTTGTCGACAGCCGAGTGAACACTGTTAAGAAATTACTCTGAACTCACATAATTGACTTGCAGTTCTAGTCAAAACTCTCTTTTCTTCCCGAAACTCCCTTGTAAATTTTCTCTGAAATACCGTGGTGTTATCCCTAGAATTCCTTTTAAAATCTCATCAAAATTGCTTTGAATAAACATTCTAACATTCTCTTAATAGTTCATCAAAGTGACTTTATTCTGAAAATCTAGTTCAGTGCAAGGGTTATGAATTATTTCAAGGTTCAATTTTATTTCTCATTCGGCGAAAGGACGAAGTATATTTTTTCCCGATTTGTCATCGAAATTCACGTGTTTCTCCCGGTTTTCCGTTTCACTGATCACCCTCAAAGAACCAAGCCTGAATTTTCCAAACGAGCATAATGCTCTCATACTGTGAAGCTTGGTTGGTGATATGTTTTAAAATAGTCATCCTTTGTCCTAGAAACGTTTTGATATGAAAACTCCAAAGCATACCATGGCGCATTTGCCGTCGCTTTGTCTTGAATCAGCACAATCTGCTTGGCTTTCATCAACTGCTAACTAGATTGTCGCCATCGCTCAGTTCATCGCCGTCTTGCCATTTTGGTGTAAGGGGACGTGAGGTAATACGCACCCCTAAGAAAATTATCGATTTACATTACATTTTAATCCAAAATACACAATCTATTTTAGCGTATTCGTTAGTCTGAATAATCTTCTTGATGTTATCGAAAACATCATGCAAAAATATGCATTCATAATTGAGAAAATGATTTTACAAAAAATCTTCTCAAAATAGCGTTTTTATTTTTCGCTGGGTAATATGCGTCTCGTAAGTGTTATGCTTATTATTGCGGGAAGTATAAATGTAGGTTTTATTTATAACACTTTTATAAGGTTCCCATCATCTGTAACTGATGTTTGAGCTATTTTAACGTCAAAGGCTTTTAGGAGCTACCAAACCACACGGCGCATACTGCCCCACCCTCAACTCAGAACTTTGTACAGAACAGAAACAGAAACATGCCGCTAATTTGTGATTGAAAAACATTATGTTTTCACACAGATATCGAAGCAAGTTGATGCATATAGCAGGGCTGGTAGCGATCAATGCTGTCAAAATAGTGATTTTAGTGACCATGTTGAAATAAATGACCAAATAGTGACATAAAGTTGTAAAAAAGTGACTAAAAAGTGATCTAATCGAAGAAAATTAGTCGTTCTGATGGCATACCAAAAAATGTTTGATGTTTTAGACTTATTCAATTAGATTCTAATAAGCACTCCTCAGCGAAATAATTAATATAGTTCTATGATTTTCACTGAAGGTCTCAAGATCTGTCTGAAGTTTAAATCATCGAAACTAATTCATAGCTTCTTCGATAGTCTAGAGTTTCCTGATGTTTATAAAACTGCCCAAAATATTTCTCAATTTCTTTAAAAATCTCTAGACTGCCATGCCTTAGTATTTTTTTAAAAAATTCACCATTTTAATGGAATTGATTAAATTCCCTTTAAGTTCTACAATTTTCCTTAAGTTTTATGAATATATTTATTATTATAAACTCTCACGGAACTTTTTCTTAAATCACTAGTTTTCCCTGCCAGAAGAATGCTTACCTTAATTTCTCTAAATTGATCAAATGTTCCTTGTAAGTCGCTGCAAATTTCCTTGAGTAAATGAGATTTTTCTGATGTTATCTAATCGTCCTCGAAGTAGTCGGAACTTCACTGAATATAATGAATATAATCAAAAATATCTAAATTTCATAAGGTTCTCTGGAATTTCTTGAAAATATCTGTGCTTGCTTAAAGTTCTCACCTTTTTTAATTAATGGTACTTCGTTGATGTTCTCTAATCAACTTTGCAAAAATTTCGAATTTTCTATAGATCTTGAAATTTCCATGATATAACACCCTTGAAATACTCTCACATTTTCCGGATGTTCATATAATTTTTATTGCGTTCCAGAAATTTTCTCTGAGCAAACCGAAGTTTCCGGAAATTCCGGTTTCTGCAATTTCCTTGAAATTTTCTGAACGGCCCATCGATTCTCTGATCTGTCTTCATGTTTTCGGAGCTTTCCTAAAACTCCACTCTAATAAAGATCTCAGTTCTGCTTTAAAATAAATGGAATTCTCGCTGATCAATTGAGCTGAAACGTTCGCCAAAGAAATACAAATATGTATGTTCAATTTAACGATTACAAAAAATATGATTTTGCATACTTATTGACTGATTTAACGTAGAAAACTTTCATAAATTATGGATGAAAATATTTTTTTTTATTATAGTCACTTTAACACTCTTGGGTCATTCGTGACTTGTCCGGGGGTGAGATTTGAACTCGTGACTTTGGCGTGAGAGATATGGATGTTAACCACTACGCCGGGGTCGCCCCCGAAAATAAAATTTAGCTAGAAACAATCACTACTGCTATTTTTTTTTTTTGAACAGTTTAAAATGGACGTTGCAACAGGTTCAAATCAAAATGTAAACATAGAGAAATCGTAACGCTACAAGCAGTATCTCATATTAACAGGAGATGTCACTAGTATGCATATAAATGATTGGTTGCTTAAATCAGTAACGCATACATGAATTATGAATGAAGTACTCAAGCATGATGGCACTGCTATTTTATTGAACACAACTGTATAACCGATATGGATGTGATTAGGCACCCGGGTACCAAGTCTTGAATAGCACCGTGTAGAGTAGCTAAAGTGCCTCTCAAGCTAAAGGACAAAATTTGTCACGAATGACCTTAATAGTGTTAAAATTACTTTAATAAAAAGGCACGGTATAGAAAAAAAAAAAAAAAATCTGTCACGACGCATACCATCGCCATGACATTCAAGGTTTGCTGAACTGTATCCGTAAAGTGCCTCCGATACAAGATCTTGAACCTAATATGTAAAATCATGGATAGGACATTGCTTTGACTGTCCTACCCGGGCTTTTTTGTGCGTAGGACATTTCACACCCGCTTCTAGTCCCTCTGCCGTTGTTTAATTTAACCACTTGCGCTTACTCCAGTTTCGGCAATTTTCTCCAAATACATTCTGCTTCTCACAAAAACCAAAGCAACTGTAATTAGAAAAAAAACGCAATGTTTTACTTCGTTTATCTTTAAACCGCTTCAAACTTTATATTTTTAGTTGAATTTTTTACTTTGTTTTGCTTTTGATTTCCTGTTTTAGCTTGTCAAATTTGGTCAAAATGCACAAAAAAAAATAAGCGAGAAAATTTTACTTTACGTATCGAAAAAAAAAATATGGGAAATCAACTCAAGAACTAAACCATAATTTGTGAAGGATAGAATAAATTATATAGTTCATTAAAACTGATTGTGAGCAGTTCCAGCCACATTGATTCACGGGATTTGAAAAATCAACATATATCGTGTGTTCTATAACTTCAAAACATTGTGGACTGTTTATTAATTCATTTGGTAGAAAACTAACATGCTGGACCACAAATAAAATCAAGACAGACTCGTTTTAAACTCTAATAATCCTAAATTGAGGGATAAATTTACGTAACCTATTTTTAGATTAGTTGAATTCAGAGTATTTTTAAATCATTCAGATTCATAAAACATTCATAAATGAAGTTAGCACATTTTAACATAAAACATGGAATCCAACATGCGTTCAGGAACATTATTACTAGTTTAGCCTATTATTCGATATCGATATATTTAATCTTAACTTGATTTACATTTTCTAACGCAATTTCTCGATCACAGTGCTTAACGGATGATGACTTCTATTTGAAGGAACATCAGGTAAATGAATTCTAGATAATTCCGTTTTCAATTGAATTTGATCGCTCAAAAATGTCAAAAACACGTCCTTTAGCGATTTGTGTGTAGTAGGTAGCACTGAAATCTGTACAGAATCAGAGCAGTTTGTATTGGTAGTGCTTCTATGTAGTATATATTTGTGATCCGTAATCCGTGCAATTGTTCATCCACAGGGCATCACGGACAACGTTCCGCGTCGCACCAGCGAGGCTGCTAATCAGAAGGAAAGCTCACCGGAACTGGCACCCGATGAGGAGGAAGAGGAAGAAGAGGAAGAGGATGAGGAAAAGAAGGCCGAAAAGATAGCCAAACGGTTGAACCGGGAGGTCAACATGCTGGCGGCTCGACTGATTCGACTGAAAGAAAAGGAAGAGGAGAAACATGCCGAGCGGCACGCCTTGAAATATACCATGAAGACTAACCAGTATGCGCTGAAGTGAGTAGGATATCAAAGTAAAATTATGAACTTAATATTCTAATGAGTTATTCTAATTCTTCCATCAGAAACGAGCTGAAGAAATACAAAAAACTGCAGAAGGAAGTCGAAAAGATGGCTGCAATGATGAAAATGGAAGACGAGGACGAGGACGGAGAGGAGCCCAAGGAACCACCACCGGAGGAACCTGAAGAAGAGGAGGAGGAAGAGGAATCCGAGGAGGAAAGCGAATCGGAATCAGAATCAGAAAGTGATAATGAAAGCGTGAATGAAGCAGAGGTACGTAACTGAAGAACTACTATTATCTTAACTGAAATAAACCCAACTGATCCCAACAACAGGACGCCCCAGACGAGAAGAAGAAAATTAACCTAGAGCCACGGGTAAAACGACACGAGAATCGATTAGCGTCGCTGAAGAAGGGCAACTACTTCCTGCAAGCGAACGTTGATCGAATCAAAGATGAAATCAACAAAACGCGGGAAACGTGCTGTACCCTGCAGGCAGATTTGGACTCAGTTATAGCCGACCTAGGATAGATATCTACATTTTAGCCCAAATTAAAAATCATTGCATACAGTTTTCTATAAATCTAAAGAAACGATGTTGAACTTAATTGAGCGTATCAAAACATATTGCTGTATTTACCGTACACACCATTATTCAAGTGCAATTTTTACCATTCTAGTTACACGTAAGTCCCACACAGCGGAAACTTTTCATATTAAAACACCTAAAGCATATTTTTCATCCTTCATCTCTACAAGCAACGACATTGAACCATTTTTTTTACAGAAAACAGATCACAAAAAAAAACTGAAGAAAAATATGTCCGGCCACGGGAAAAGGCGGAGCCGGTCTTTGGCACACGCAAGAGTATTTATTTTATCTGTATTTTTGCAATTGGAAATGAATAAAATACAACATACCTGAATTGAACTCAGTTTAATCTACTGGAGGCGTGTATCCGACCACTTTATTTCACTCAGAATTCACGAAAAATATCACAAAATTGCAAACACTTTCCCAGAAGACACGAACGAATTCAAACTGTTTGTACACAACAGGCGAAAAAGTGGTTTGTTTTGGTTGAATAAACAAACTTTGTGCAAAAAGGGGATTGGAAAAAGGGCAACGGGGACTGTCACAATAATGACCTATGCAGCATAAAACAAAGAGGATAAAACTTTTAGCCAGGGCTGTACCGAGGAACATCCCTCAGCTTTCCACGAACCGAAAATTCAGTGCCAACATTTCAAAGGGGCGTAATTGCTTTTATAAACAATGACTTTAGCCGTCAATTTCTCGAATGACATCGGGTCAAATTGAGCGGCAAAAGAAGGCCAGTGTTGCCAAAAACTTTGTTATGAATTGATATTTTTGACAGTTTAACAACTTTTATTTAAAAAAATATGAGCTTTTAAAATTACAAGTCGAAAGTGAAGGAAAAAACTTTTAAACAAACAAAATTACATTCATTCACAAAACTACGAAATTCGGGAAACTTTTGAATTGAAATTGCAATATTTTTATAAGAACCATTTTTATTTTTTTGTGTGTAGCAAGGGTTTTGTCTGTATCGTTAAACGCCGGCCAGACTGGCGAGTTATAACATGTTATAACGGTTGTTAAATAATTGCAACACAGAAACCACCATCAAGATAGCGCTATAACATGTTATAACTCTGTAGTCTGAACGTACTATTAGTTGCTTTATGTGTTTGGATTCGCTGATTGACATACACTCAAAAAATATTGAAATCTAAATAGTATAAAAGCTACGCTAAATCGCAACTCTCCGTATCGACGCAAAGGTCGGTATAAAGGGAGAGAATGCAAACTTAGTATAAAAATGGTTTATGCGTTCCGTAGTATAAAATTGAAATATACTTACAATGCGTAGATACGGTTTATTCGAGAGAATGTATTTTTCGCTTCTTAATTTTATTTATGGTAAATATTATTGTTTTCAAATCAAAATTAAAATTGTCTCAGGGAGGTTTTTTAATTATTTTATTTTTATGAATATTATTAAAAAATACATACCTTTTCGATGTTCATTAGAATGAACTCGTGCTTACGCAGTCTAGCTGATCACATGCGCTGTATAAATCCGCCGGGACGAAGCTCTTCACCAGCACGAAGCTCGGAAGAGAATCCAGATGATCTTTTTGCTATCATTTTAGTAAACACTGATCGAATTCCACTCCGTTATTCGGACTTAGTATAATTTTAACGAAAATTTTAATCGAACCGATGTATAAATTTTGAAAATCCATAAAATGCATAAATTTTAATCTATATTCGTTTTATTATATTTTTGAGTGTAGCTTGTGAGTAGCTGCAGTTTATTCCAAATCTGAGTAAATTTCGTATGGAAAGAAAATTCTCTGAGTCAATTAATCTCAGTCGCTGAGTTGGTATGATTGGCCGTGTACATTTTATGAATAATCAATTAATTTTTTTAAGCAAGCAAAATTTAAGCAATTAAAATTTTCCAAAATATATAAAGGGATTTCTATTAAAGCCCTACAGTAAAAGTATGGACGTCTGTCAAAAGTTGTTCCAATCGAACCGTCAAAATGCACCGCTTTGCTCGATTGGAACAGCTTTTTTCAGTTCTGTGGTGACAGTCGTCCATACTTTTACCACAAACGAAGTTACATACGACTTTCTCCGAAGAAATTTCTTGATTGTTAGAAAGAACCGGAACAGCAAAGTTTGAAAGTAGAATGGATTTTATTTAACGACTAGCTTGAGTGGAGTCTTGAACAGGAATGAAAAGTTTTTCACCGTTGTTTATTTAAGAAAACTTAGGTTGCTAGGGGTGACGTTCGGTCTCCAAGGAGGTGATCAGCACACTGCGTTACCGATTTACTCCAACACCCCCCCTGAATCGGTCAGTCCTAGGAGGGTCCTCAGTTCGCGGAAACGTCCAGGTTCCAGGGGCTTGGTGAACGTGTCCGCTATTTGGTTTGCTGTATCAATTGCTTCGATTTGAAGTCTTCCTTGTGCCACATGGTCGCGCAAAAAATGGTGCTTTACATCGATGTGCTTGACACGCTTGCTTTCGGTGTTTGTGGCCATTGCAATGCACCCACGGTTGTCTTCGTACACCTTGAATGCCGTGTCCGGTCGAACTTGCTTCAGGTCTTCAAGGATTCCGTGCAGCCACAGCCCTTCGGAGGCCGCGGCACTTAAAGCTGCATACTCGGCTTCACACGACGACAGTGCAACGGTTTGTTGCTTGCGGCTTGCCCAAGACACGGTGTTCCCAAAGACCTTAAAGACGAAGCCACTAACGGATTTCCTATCCTCAGCATCCGATGCCCAGTCAGCGTCTGCGTATCCGACAAGTGCCTCGGCGTCGTCGTTTTGCTTGTACTGGAGCTTCAAGTTCTTCGTTCCCTTCACGTAACGGACCACTCTCTTCAGGGCTTGCCAGTGGGCCTCATCAGGTTGAACTTGGAAGCGCCCTAGGTATCCAACAGCGTAGCATATGTCCGGTTGAACACACAGCATCGTATACATCAGGCTGCCCAGCAATTGACGGTATGGATGCGACACAGGATTCGCAGCTTGTGGTGGCAGGAAACAGCCTTTCTCCATTGGGGTTTTGACATGGTTACAGTCTTGCATGCCGAACTTCGTCAGCACACGGTCCACAGCAGCTTCTTGCGCCAGGTACATGCATCCGGTGGCGCGGTCGTATCGGATCTTCATTCCAAGGAAATGATTAACCACGCCGCAATCCGTCATCTGGAGCTTCTTGGAAAGAGCACGCTTGATCTCCTTCACCAGGTCCATTCGATCGCCAGCAATGAGCAAATCGTCCACGTAGATGATTATGTATACCCCCCCTCGATCGTCGATCCTTATATATAGACAGTAATCATGCCGGGAACGGGTAAAGCCGAAATCCAGTAGAAGGTCGTTTAGCTTGTTGTTCCAACAGCCGGGGCTTTGCTTGAGTCCGTACAGCGATCGATCCAGCTTGCAAACGAAGTTCGGCGGTGCTGCAACTCCTTCGGGTATGGCCATGTAGACGTCTTCTTCAAGCTCACCGTAGAGGAATGCGGTCTTCACATCGAGTTGGTGAACGTGCATCCTTCGGTGGGTTGCTACAGCAAGAACGGTTCGTATCGTGGCTAACTTTGCTACGGGGGAATATGTTTCGTTGTAGTCGACTCCGGGCTTCTGTTGGAATCCCTTCGCCACCAAGCGCGCCTTGTAACGGATCGGTTCGCCATGCTCGTCCGGCTTGATTCGGAAGACCCATTTCGATTTGAGCGGAACCACACCAGCAGGGCATCTCACCAATCGCCAAGCATGGTTGTCCGCTAGCGACTGCAGTTCCTCACGGACCGCTTGCTGCCAAAGAGCTTCGTCGCCTCGTCCAGCGATCTCCTTGTACGCCTCCGGGACATCGAAGATTGAACGCTCGGCCTCATCTCGTCCAACGGAACCGTCAAATAGTACATCGGAAACGTTATGGGGAACATCTGCAGAATGGGATTGCGCGGCAGTGAAAAATTTTCCAACCAGAAATTCTTTCAACTTACCGGGGAGTCTGCGCTCCCGTTCGCTGCGCCTCGGGGTTTCCATTTCGAGGTTTGAACCACGGTCTAGTTGCGAAGGGAGCGCTCCGGTTTCTTCAACACCGTCGTCTTCAACCTCGCCTTCTTCATCATCAGTCAGGATGTCGTCATGTTGAGCCACCAGCGGCTCATCGGGTTGAACGGACTGTTCAGGGGTTTGCACGTCTTCCTCATCTTGATCCTCGAACTCGTACGGAGCAACAACCAAAGGAGTTTTGTCACGGATCTGGGTGGCAAACGGAAAACTGTTTTCATCGAACTTGACATCTCTGGCTAGGAATAACTGCTTCTTCTCTTTGTTCCACAGGCGGTAGGCGTTTGGCGCATAGCCGATCATCACAGCAGGCTTGCTTTTCGGATCCAGTTTCTTCCTCTGTGCCGTGGACACCCAAGCAAATGCTTTACAGCCGAACACACGTAGTTTACTAACGTCCGGCTTGTGACCAGTCCACATTTCCGCAGGAGTCTTCCAATCAGATACCGCGGTGGTTGGACTTCTGTTCGTCAGGTATACCGCCGCTAGAACCGCTTCATTCCACAGATTCTTCGGAGTTTGGGCTTCAATCAGCATCGCACGCACCTTTTCGACGATTGTCCGATTGAACCGTTCGGACACTCCATTCTGCTGTGGTGTGTACGCTGCGGTTGGCTCGACTTGGATCCCCTTGGAAACGTACCAATCACGCTGGTCATTGGAGCAATACTCGCGCCCTTGGTCGATAGTCAGCTTCGAAATCGAATGTCCCAGAGCGGCACTCGCCATGGCATCGTACTCTCGAAACTTCTGGAACACCTCGGACTTCTTCTTGATGGGATATACTACTGCAAAGTGCGTGTAATCATCAATAAAGGTGACGACCCAACAAACAATTTAAGCTGCAGACTAGCTTATAAAGGCAAAAATTAGCTGTATATGCCAATTTTTGGCTGCATAAGCTAATCTGCAGCCAAAATTGTTTGTTGGGGAAGTACCGAGAATCATCCCAAGCCGCTGGTGTAATTGGACCGCACACATCGGAGTGCACTCGTTCTAGAGGTCTTGTAGCACGGACTCTAGTACCCGTGAATGGTTCTCGGCACTGCTTTCCGAGAACACAAACATCACAAAAATCCAATTTATCTGGTTTCTCGGGAATACCTGTTATTGTCGCGCGCCCACTAAATCGGAACGCGCGTGTGAGACACGCGACGTGAGACTCACACCCGAATTAACTATCATCACGAGATTTGTACCCATGACAGTTCGGTCATGATATTATTTATTTATAATCTGCTTTCATTTGTAAATATATTTTTGTTTGTTCCCAGTTCATCACACAAAACGAGTTTGCTATTTGAAAATGTAGAGGAAATTGCTATAGAACTTGAAGATTTTACGTTCAAGGTCGGTTTAAAATGGCCAATCCTA